GTGATTTGGTTGGTTGTGAACACGTCCTGGTCCGGGCCCGTCCGGTAGGCCAGCAGCGCGCCCGCGATGGCGGCTTGCGTCTGCGTGTCCTGCGCGCTCGCCGAGCGGTAGTCTCCCAACAGCGCGTCTACCTGCGCCGCGGTGTAGTAGGCCAGCAGCGCGGCCGTGATGGCGCTGGTCGTCTCCGTGTCCTGCGCCGTTCCGGTTCGGTAGTCTCCCAACAGAGTGTCCACTTGTGAGGAGGTGTAGTAGGCCAGCAAGGCTGCTGTTATAGCAGCGTCAGTGCCCGCCGTGGAGTAGCAGTCTGCCGTGATGCTCAGCGTGTTGTCGCCGTTGGCCAGCGCAGCAGAGAGAGGAGCCTCCAGATGCAGGTTGCGAACGACGTTGCTTCCGCGAAGGAGCTCCCAAGTCGTGAAGCCCGCCCAGGCCGGCGCGTTAACAACTCCGCTGCCGGAAAGCTGCAGGGCGGCGAGCTCCGCGAGGATTGCGTCGAGGGCGCTCTGGAGCGCGGTCTTGCTGGCTGAGAGCGCGGCGTTCGTGGCATACGAGGCCAGCAGCGACGTGTCGGCCTTGCCCCCCTGGAGCGCCGTGATGCTGGCGTCCCGGCTAGCAAGCTGCGCTGCGACGAAGGCCTCGGTGGCGAGACCCAGCAGGGCATTTGCAATCTTGGTGTCTACCTCCAGTGGAGTGTCCAGTCCGTCCACCGTGGAGAGCAGGGCAACCAGCGCGCTGGCGTCCGCCTTGCCGAGGAGGGCGGCGTCCGGCTGCCGTGGACGGCGTCCAGGAGAGCGGCCGAGATCTTCGAGTCCACCTCAGAGGAAGTGTCGACGGCCGAGAGCAGGGCGTACGCTGTCAGGGCGCTGGCGTCCGCCTTGGAGGCCTGCAGCCCCGAGATGGAGGCGTCTCTGCTCGCAAGCTCGGGCGGTGACGGCCTGCAGGAGAGCGTTGGCCACCTTGGTGTCCACCTCCAGCGGCGTGGTCCTCGCCGCTATGTCTAAGGGAGTGCTGGTCCACCACCGTCTTGAGGCCGTAGTTGGCGGCCACCGTGGCCAGCGCGGCGTTGTTGGCCGAGGCGATGGAGCCGTTCATGGCCGCCGTGGTGCTGTAGTTGGACAGCTTCATGTCCACGCCGTCCGGGGTGCTCTTCGTGACCGCGGTGACGTGCGTGCCGTCAGTCACCTCCCCGTTGTCCAGGACCTCCGGGATGTTGCCGGTGACAGGTCCTTCAAACATGTTTACATATGTTTTCGCCGACGCCTTGGTCCAGTGGCTACCCGCAAAGCGAGAGGCCCGCACCAGGCCTGCGCCAGGCCCGCATCAGGCCCGCACCAGGCCCGCACCAGGCCCGCGCCAGGCCCGCGCCAGGCCCGCACCAGGCCCCAAATCGCAAGACCTCGCCGGTCAAATAAAAAGCGTGCTACAGTCATCGTCCCACGCGACAACTGGAAATTTTTTCCCTACAGTCGTCCCCCCACGGGACAACTGGAAATTTTTTCCTTACAGTCGTCCCCCCACGGGACAGCTGGATTTTTTTTCCTGGACCTCGGGTGGTGCAGGCTCGGCAGGCTGGAGGCTTCTATGCCGGGCAGGTGGCGAGGCCGGGAGGCTTCTATGCCAGGCAGGTGGCGCGGCAGGAATGTGGCGCGCTAGGTATCGAAGCCTCCGATGCCGGGCAGGAATGTGACCTGCGCACGATGGAGCCAGTGTCCGACATAATCGGACACTGCTTCGTAGTTGGTGATAACATACGAGACATCATCAGCTGCGTGCCTCCATGTCGGCGGGCTGGCGCGGCCAGGGTCGCGCCTCTGCAGAAAGTGCCTGACATCCTCACAAAAAATGTCGAGGTTCCCCCCACACGACAACCTCGACATTTTTTTTCCTGGGAAGAATTCCGACCTTGGCGCGGGCTCGGCAGGGCTCCGATGCCGGGCAGGTGGCGCGGCCGGGTCAGGCGAATGCTTCTCGCACTTGGTCTGCAATGAAGAATGACGAGAATTTCAACATGTCAATCCGACATGTTGAAGGAATTCGGTGCCCGGGACAACAAGGTGGCTGGCTCCGATGGAGACCGTGCCCGAGCTCGTCACGTCGCCGCACACCACGCTGCCCGTCGACGCTCCGCCGCTCGTGGCCGTGAAGGTGCAGTCCAGGCTCTCGCAGTCCAGCGGGCCCGCGGAGGCCGCCCCGCTGACTGTCAGCGTGGCGCCCGTGAGCGCACCGGTGGCTGCGAAGCTCGCGGCGGTTGCTGCGCCCAAGGCCGTCAGTGTCCCCGTGGACACGTCGCCCACCGTGGTGAAGTTCCCGGCGTTGGCCGTGTTGTTGATGGTGAGTGTGCTGCTCGTGATTCCTGTGGCGGAGCTCAGCAGGCCTACGCTGGCCGCGCCGGTGATGCTCAGCGAGCTGCCTGACACGGCCCCTGTGGACGTCAGCGTGGCCCCGGCAACGGTGCCTGTGGCTGTGAGCGCTGCGCAGGAGACTGCGCCCGAGGCGTCCACGCCCGTTGTGAACACGTCCGTGCAGTTCACGTCGTTGCACAGCAGCTGGTCGCAGCCCACGTTGCCCTGCGCGGTGAGCCCGTCCAGCGTGGCCGAGCCCGTGAGGGCCCGCGAGTCCGCCAGCAGGTCCGTTACCGAGACAGACTCTCCCTCGAAGGCGCTGGCCCTGATCTGCATGCTGTACAGGTCCAGCGTGCCCGCCGACTGCTGCACCAGGCCGGGGATAGACCCGCCGAAGGCTCCGAAGTGCAGCTTCGCGATTCCGCCCGGCGGCGCCGAGAAGTCCAGGCGCGCCGTGCTCCAGACTCCCTGCGAGGGCGTGCCGAGGAAGGTGCCGGTGACGCCCACGTAGTCGTTGTCGGCCGCGCTGACGTACATCACCACGTTGGAGGCCGTGCCCAGCCGGTACCGGCAGCCGAAGGAGTAGCGTCTCCCCGGCGTCAGCGTGTAGGTGCGCACAATGTTCCAGGCGAAGGCGCTCAGGGTCATGGCGTAGCCCTCCAGCTGGAAGCCTCCCACAGTGAAGCTGGCCAAGGCCACGGAGCTCTGGCTGTTGGAGCGCACCAAAAAATTTCCTAATGTGGTGAGCGTGGGCTCCAGCAGCACCTCGCCCAGGGTGGCCAGCGTGACGTCGTTGGCCCCTCCGTCGAGGAACTCGTGCTTCAGCAGCAGTGCCGAGGCCGCCGTGTCCTCCTCCTCCGCTGTGTTGCCGGTCTCCAGGGTTGCGTCCAGGATCTGGAGGCCGTAGACGTCCACCGTTCCTGCCGTCTGGTTGGGCAGGCCCGGCGCCTGGAAGTGCGCCCCGAAGTGCAGCTTCGCCACTCCGTTCGGAGGCACTGTGAAGTACATCTTGGCCGTGCTCCAGGCGCCCTGGCCGCCCACGAAGCTGCCGTACAATGGGTCGTAGACGTTGTCGGCCTCAGACATGTACACCACGAAGTTGGAGGCCGTGCCGAGCCGGTAGCGGCAGGCGAAGAGGAGCTCTCGGCCGGGCGTCAAGTTGTAGGTGTGCACGATGTTCGACGGGTTCACCGCCAGGGTCAGAGTGTAGCCGTCCACACTTACCCCGCGGTGTGCGTGGCCAGGACCACGCTGCAGCCGCTGCTGGGGCGAACCGTCCAGTTTGACAGCCGTGTTCACTGCCAGGTCTGTCACTTGTGCGTAGGGCGTCAGAGCGAGGGCCAGCTGCCCTGCGGTGACGTGCGTGCCGTCAGTTACCTCTCCGTTGTCCAGGACCTCCGGGATGTTGCCGGTGACAGGTCCTTCAAACATGTTTCCTTAGGAGTCGTTGCGCAAAGTCGGCCCTGGAAAAAGCTTCGGAAAACTTTCAAAATCTGCCGGCTTCCTGCCTGTTCAGGCTTGGTCGTATTGGACGAGGTCTGAACAGGCGTTGGAACCCCTCACAGGCGTCCCCTTCGTGGCATTCCGACCGTTGTAAGTTTCCGCAAGTACGTGTCACCCCGTGACACAGTCCGTGGGTGCCTTTTTCACGACCTGAAAGCAAGGCCGGCTGTGCGGCTTCGGTCTTGGAGCGAGCGGCTTTGGTCTTGGAGCGAGGCCGGCTGGGCGGCTTCGGTCTTGGAGCGAGGCCGGCTGGGCGCCCCAAACCCTCAGCCTCTGCAGCACACGCCCCAGCAGGCGATTCGCGAGGACGGCTTCCGCACTTGACGTGCGGCTAGCCGGGGCCACGGCTGGCAGGAGAGCCGATGGCAAGCAACTCCCCGCCCTCCATCACCGTCTGCGCAGCACGGCCGACGGAGCGCAGGCAGCAGCAGACCTGGTGGGCGCAGGAGCAGCAGGGCTCGCAGCCATGCAGGCCCACTCGCAGCTCCCCCGGACACTTGGCGCTGGTCGAGTCCTTCAACCGGGTGCTGCTGTCCGTCTCCCTCGTTCAGCTGCCCCACGGTGCACACGCAGTAGTCCAGCGTCCCGAACGGAGTCGCAGAGCACAACGTCACCGTGGCGCGCGCGCTCACGAAATTGAAGGGCGCGTTCGTGAGCGTCGGGGACAACGACGCAGGCTCAAAGCTCCACTTGTAAGCCAACCCAGTACCCGCACAACCCCATGAAGAGAGCCTCGGAGCACTTCCACTTCCTCTCGGCCCTTGCGGGGACGTACGACGACACGGTGCCCACCCACACGCACGCACGCACGTGCACGTGCACGCGCACGCGCACGCGCACGCGCACGCATGCACGCGCGCGCACACGCGCACGCACACGCTCACGTGCACCCGCATGCCCACGTGCACGCACAGGCACACGCATACGCACGCGCACGCGTGCGCGCGCGCGCGCACGCGCACGCGCTTGCGCACGCGCGCCCACACACGCACACATCAATGTTGTGAGGATTTGGGCTCAACAGATGCTGGTTGATCTGTTTTTGCTGCTGTTTTTGGATAAAGGTAACAGCATCCAGAGCATTTGACGCATCGGGTGCCACAATGATTTTCAACGCACTGTTCTGTTTCGATCAGGACGTGCAAAACCTTTGTCCATGTCCTCAAAAAGCACGGTGCGTAGCCCCGAGCTCATGAGCCGCCGCTCATGGCGAAGGAGGTAGCTCAAGGCCCGGGATCTGATCAGAGGGGCATGCGGCATCCGTTGCCGTGTTCCAATGTTGTCCATTTGAAGCGAGTGGGTTGTCCAGTTGTGTTTAAGGGGGGGCCCTGTATGCGTGGATTGACTGCCAAGGGATAGTCTTGACGGCAACGTTTAGATGACATGATGACAGGGCGTCGTAGTCTGGACAGTCTTTGCTGATGTAATTAACTGCCTCACAGGGTTGAAGCATGCAACAAGTCGTGCTACCGCCATTGGGGGAACTTGTGCAACTCAGCACGGGTCTCAGCAGCACTACTTTTATACACAGAAAGGGTACCCTCAAAAACACACAGACCCATATTGCACTGAGTTATACTGAGTTGTTTAGTTCTTGGCCTCGGATCGAGGACGGGAGTTGTTGCAGCACTACCGGCGCCGGCGCAAGCTGGGCCTGCTGCCCGGTCGGAGGACAGATTCAGTTGAGGCATCGAACCGGGCAGCATTCAGGAGCAAATGGGCATAGGACCGTCTCCTCATGTACTAGAGCAAGGGAGGCAGGCTCGAAGAGGGATGCTATTCCGCAACCTGTTTTGTGGCTCTCTTTTTCGGTTTAGGATCCAACAAACAAATTGGGGGGGGTGACTCAACAGGGTCTCGGTTTCCAAGCACCAGCCCTGCTAGGACCTCTGCGGCAACCGTCGCAGCAGAGCGCCGCTGAGTTGCACGCTGGGGTTGGGGTTTGTCAGGTGCGGTGAAACCATGCACCAGTTTTCAAAGCCCTTTCGCAGGTTGAGCCAAAGGAAGAAGGAAACCATAACGAATCGAAAGAAAGCCAATGGGAGCCACAAAAAAAGAGAAGGCCACTTCCAAACACCAAATTTTCAAGGTTCATTGTTTTCAGAAAGGTGCAGATGCGCTCCTGAGCCACAGCGCCTTTGGGTACTTTCCACCCGATCGCCCGGCAGCCCAGTGAGAGTCTCGAGAGCGAGCGGGTTCGATTGCTCCTTGAAGCGATTCACATAGTCATAGAGATGTTCTTGTGATGTGTGAAGGGGATGGCAAGGCATTTTGCATGCACATCCCCGTATATTTCTGATGTCCGCCAAAGGGTCCATTCATGCTTTGTCTCCAAATGGGGGTTTTTCTGAGGTCCCCTCAAAAATGGGCAGACCCATACAGCCCACTGGGGAGCCTTCTCAGAGGCCCCCGTGCCCAACTGCAGCTGGAGCTGGCGAGCCGCCGAAAGGCACTGGAGGAGCCAATGGGGCGGTTCCCTTTTAAGGTGCCTCTTTTGGGGTGCCTCTTTAAGGAGAAACCAGAGGGAAACAGCCCCAGCCCCCATTTTGGGTTCCTTCTGAAGGTCGAGGATCGAAAGTGTTTGGTGCGTAATTGGCACTCACAATCTCGCGGTATACATGACCACACGCGGGGAGCGGCGGGTTTGCACTGGAGCAAAAAGCGGAAGCAACAAGGGCAAGCAACAAGGGCAAGCAACAAGGGAAAGCAACAAGGGCCGTAACAAGGGAAACAGGAAGGGACATGTACAATTCGATGGAGGATTATGCCAGCTTTGTTGGATGAGCGCGAGCCTTGATGGGCAACGTTGACCCGGAGATTCCTTTGGAAGCAGCCAAAGCAGCCAAACTAACAGAGCCACCAACAGACTAGATGCTGTCTGGCGGAGTAGCAACGGAGCAAGGGCCTCATTCAACAGCAGCAGCAGCAGCAGCAGAAAGTGACAGCAAATGTTAAGGGACAGAAGCGAAGAGCAATGGCCATTGAAAAGAGGCAGGACGCAATGCCAATCATGCAGAACATGTGAATTCAGATATGGCCAGCCAGACGTGACCAAACTGCGCTCTGCGATCTGCGTCGATGCCGGAGAGATGGAAGGAGGTGACTGTGGGAACATACGCTGTCGCAGAGGACCTGCATCGCTCCATCGACAGGAAGCGGGGTCATCATCACAAGTTTTGTCAGTAGTACAGGAACTCCACTTGGGATAAAACTATGAGTATTTACCTTCGAGTTGTGATAGTCTCCAGGCGACAATTTGAAATGCATGGTCGAACAACTCATCAGGCCAGCCTGCACGGATAAGTCATCGATCGCTGACACATGCTCAGCTTGAAGCCAAGCCTCAGCAAGGGCAAACATTTGCATAGTTTCAATGTTGGCAAGTAACTGGAAGAAACTTTTGGGTGTCACTTGGATGGTTTAGACAAAATCGACACTTTTGGCTCAATGCCATCTGACGCATGAACAAAAACATAGTTACTTTGCAACAGTCGTTGTGCGATGACCATTCTGGTGCAACATCCGTTGCCAGCGATTGTTTGGCTTTAGAAAGTGCGAAGCATAACAAGCGGTTCACAAGATCAAAGGCCCTTTGCCTACATGCAGTGTTGCTTTCTATCAACGCATGATCTTTTTCTATGGGTCCTGAGCATGACATCGCTCAAGAGACTTCTTGACAAACAACAAGATGCACGACATCAAGTGCATCGAACTTGCTGGGCGGCTCCACGACGCCTCGAGACACAGCATGCTTCTCTTGAGGCGCAGGTGGCTGAGCTGGAGGCCGCCGAGGAGGCGCAGCGAGCGCTGGCGGCCGAGGCGGAGCAGCGCCAGCATGCGCTGCAGCGGGAGATGGCCGCGGCGGTGGCTTGGGACGAAGGGGCAGAGATCCGAAGAACTTTGATGCCTTGGAGGGATTAAAGATATGATGTTCTTTCATGGTAGTTGAAAGTTTCTTCCACTGGGGGGATTAAGCATGGCAGTTTCATATCCATTTCGCGTGTTTTTTCAAGCTGAAATGGTGTCACAGGTGGGAAATCTTTGTGCGAGGCACCTTGAAACTTCCATAGGCAGCACGGGTCGTGCGCGCAATCTTGTTTTCCCTTTTCAGTCTTGGTCGCAAGCCTGGGGAGAGGGTTGAGGGCATCGTTTGGGTACCCTTTTCGTGTTGGTTGCGGGGAATCCACAAAGAAAACAATTTTCAGGGTCCTATTTGGGGCTGGGAAACCCTCTTAGGCTGAGGGTTGGTTCATCGCCCTGGTTCTTGAGGGGCTTTTCACAACTCCCTGTCGTCCACCTTTTGGTATGTTGAAACATTACTTGGGAAGTACCGCCATATCTATCAGGGGTCCACAAGTGTCCAAACCAGAGATGCAACAAGACATGTTTCCGCATGCACACTCTAGGAAAGCTAATGATTGTCTGGAGTCCCTTTCAAAGGGTTGAGACCGTCCCTACCAATCCTAAGCACAACATCTGATCGGGGAAACTCTCGTAAGCCTCTGAACCCCCTGTAGTTTTTTACGTAGAGCATCGAGCCATTGCACCCGTGTTGTGAAAACCAGCCCCAGGTGGGGGTTCATCGTGATTGCCGAATTTTCTTCTTCTTTTCTTTGAACTAACCATGCGAGGTTATAGGGGCTTAAAAATCCACACAAGGGCTCCTGTTTGTATGGGTGTGTGCATCCTTCAATCTCATCGCAATGGCTCTATTTGTTTAAAACGGCTCTCTTCTACATTCCCATCATTCATCATCCATCATCTTGACCGAATGTCATGGGGGTCTGAAAATTCGACCCCCAAAAATCGGCCCCAAAAATTCGACCCCAAAAGGGGCCCCCTCTTTCGGGTGCTGCGAGGTGGAGGAGCACAGCCAGCTGTCCCGGCAGCTGCCGGAGCTGCGCGCCCGGCGCCAGGAGCTGGGCCGCGAGGCCTGGCGCCTCAAGGCGCTGCTGCAGGACGGGTCCTTCTCGGCCGCGCCTCCGCGCGCCCGGCGTCGCTTGAGACGCCAAGTGCCATGTTGGCGATGTCGTATCCCATTTGGAGGCAAACCTTGGTTTTGTTTGTGCACACTACGGGGCTTTGATTTCCTTCACTTTGGCACAAGACCCCCCAGAGGTTTACAACTCAAACAATAGCCGCACGCTCAGATTTCCTCTTTGAAAGCCAGCTCCAAATGAAGGGTTCTACCCATCGGTTTATGGGCAAACAAGTTTTTGCCTACGCCCCAGAAACCGGCGTGGCGTTTTCCTGGTTTCTCGTTTGCCCGCCAAGCGCATGGATTTCCATCTCTAGATAGCTCGTTATGAGACCTGGTCAACTCCATAGACCTGGTGAACTTGCGGCTGGGATGTTTAACCAAGCGGACGTTTTACCGACCCACAAAACGTTGGTTTTTGCACCCGCCTACGCTCCCCTTCGTACGCCTGCGAACGTGCCTGGCACATGGTAAGCACCTGGGCACATGTCTCCGTTGTACGCCTGAGCACATGCCTGGCACATGGTAAGCACACCCTCCCACGCTCTCTGTCGTACACTTGCGCACGTGTTTGGCGCACGATTTGCGCACCCGCTGACATGCCTGACACATGGTAAGCACAACCGCCCACGCTCTCTGTCGCACGCCTGACTGCACGCCCGGAATATGTCGACGGCCTATTGAAGTCTCGGCTATGTCTGTTTGTGTGTGTGTTTTAGTGGCCCCCGCGCACAACCAGTGTAGCCAGTCATGGCGCCAGGAGATGACCACAGCCCTCCAAAGCACTTACAAAGAACACGTTTTCCCGCGTGTCGCTGAGGCAAGATGCACATGCTTGTTCTTTTTTTTATGCTCTTGTTCGTTGATTTCTCTTGTTTCGCCTCAGCGGAGAACACGTTTTGGTGAATCACACTGGATCATCGCACACGTTTTGATTGGGGCGCGTTGTGGTAAGTGCAAAAAACCAAGCGCCGCGCGCTTTTGGCTGCACCATGAGCGCGGTGACGTCCAATTTTGCCGTGCCGGTTATCGGTCTGGCGTGAAGTGTTTGAGCCAACCGTTGATGAGTTTTGCTCGTATTTGTTTGAGTACTTGACCCCCCTTTTCCCTTATGGGGAAGCAACAGCTCCACAGTTAGAACTGGGGTGCGGGATGCTTTCCAGCCACTATTCTTTACCACGAACCTTTCGGCAGGCTCTTGTGATATGAGGTTTTAATGATGACTTTGTGGTTGAAGCACTGGGCCAGCCACACATGCGAAACTGCGAAAGGCTGGCTTCCTGCTCATTTTCCCAAACCAGGGACGCGGAAGCGGCCAGCGGTCCATGCCGAACGATTCCTGCAGTGTGGCTCGCTCGGGTGTGCGGCAGCGAGCCAGACGTAGCCATTTCGCCATGGGATTTGCAGGCTACGAGAAGGGGGGCTATGGCAAGGGCTATGGCTATGGCTTCTCAGCTGCAAAGAGCTCGTTACAATTTCGACCGATTTTGATCCTTGCAACCCCCCCCCCATCTCGGACCTCGGAGGGTTTCATGTTCAAGATGCACTTGCAGAGGGGGCCATGTGCTAGGGGCCATGTGGGGTTGTTTCAAAGGGAGCCAAGCGGACTCCTCGCATCCCGCGTGCGCGTGCGCGCACCGGAGGCTGGGGCTACCCCATGATGATGCCCTGGGGCTTCGGCAAGGGCAAGGGCAAGGGATTGCGTGGCTTTGCAAACGAGAAGAAGGCACGCTGTTGACACTGAGACAGGCTGTGCTGGGCTAAATAACCCAGATCCACCCCTATTGGCCTGAAGCAAAAACAAACCCAGCCTGAACACATCCCAAAGTGTATCCACCCTAGACCACCACTCAGCAGACCTCAACCCTACGCTAAGCCCTCTCATTTGCGTCTTCAATCGTCTCCCTTGCCAGAGACATTGGTCCAGGAGGCTCCAATGCTAGCATTCCATCCCATCGACTTGCAAAAGAACAAAACACACAAAGACGAAAAACACATGTTTGCCTGTCTCAAAAGAGCTTTCTCTTGGGATGGCTGAAAATGGAAACCAAAAGGACACTGCAAAAGGCCACCTGGAACATGTTTGCTCCCCGAGCTTCAAGAACACCCGTATGTACCCACCACCAGGTTTGGATCGGCGGCCTCCCGGCAGCGCCGCCCAACGTAGAGATGAATAAGATCCGCGGCACGGGGAGTTTGTGGCTGAGTTTGAGGGCCAACTAGGTGTGGTTGTCTTTTGGTTTCTTTTGATTCAATCATCACCTTTTTGGGCCTAAGATAGGGCCCGGGTGGTCCAAGGAATGCCCCTCCCCTTTTTGGGTGTTTCACACATCACCTTCTGGTTGGCGATTGTAAGATGAGCCTTCCTTTGGAAAGATGATCTTTGACATGCAAGAATCTTGATCCAGTTTTTCTGCGTTGAGCCGATGGATCAGGGTGAGTCGTTGAAGCCATGTTGTCCCGTGGGGCAGGTGGATTTGTGTAGGGCGTGGGTGCCCACATCGTGTGAGATGCGTCAAAGATCAATCATTTGCCCCGGAACGGGTCCTCTTGGTGCAGCTTTCAGCTGGCCCCAGGAAACTCAAGGAGCACATGGCGGCCGCTGGGGAGTGCGTTTTTGCAGAGATCAACCGCAACGGCGTGGGCGGGGCGGCCTTCAAGAGCCCCGAGGCCTGGCCATCTTGGGGAATCGTCTGAGTCAGAGCATTGTATGGTCACCTCGGTGAAGTCTCATTGGTTTTTTGATGGGCGTTCTGGAGGTCCTTTGTCAAGGCCTCGTTGCTTTCTTAAGCCTTTGTTCGCCCCCACAGGCGAAGGCCTATCTTTTCCAGTAGGCGTTGAAATACGGTCTAAATTGAATGCTGGGTGTTTCTGAAAATACGGGGCAAACCATTGCACGGTGCTAAGCCAAAAGCAAACCGACCAAACCGACCACTTTAGGACAGCCGCTTGTATGCTCTTTAGGGTTTAATGAGCAAACGCTCACTCACTCACTCACTCCTGAAAGAGTTTAATATGGTACGGTGATGTTAGGGCGATTTTCGGGAAGCCCCGTGCTCACGAAATGCGAGACGGGGAATTCCAAGGAGAGGTTTTGGCAAGACGCAACAGGATTCAACGTATGGCTTCGGCCTCGAACCGCCCGCTTGCAGTCGTAAACTGTCCAGGACGTCCAAAAGGCGGTTGAGATGCTCAACGGAAGTGCCCCGGCTCGGTTTACCTCGGTTGGCTCTACCTGGGTTTGAGGCACCCGCCCAAAATCTACGTGGCCAGCTGGGTTCCTGCTTGCTGCATTTGGTACAGCGTGGAGCCAGCACTGGGAAAACATGTTTCCCCAATGGCGTTCCATGGAATAACCGTGGCTTGGAGATAATCCCTTTTAAGAAACATGTCAGTACACCTATGAACCCCAGCTTCGCGTACAGCGAGGGACTCTACACCTCCCCCCAATTGTTAGGTGCTTAGCAAGCCTTGAGGGTAAATTCAGGCCGGGAGTTTGGGGGCTCTTTTGGGGGGTTGTGCTGGGGAGCGTGGGAGCGCCGAGGCGTGTTCGAAGGCAGCACGCTCGAAGTAGACGTCTGGCAGAGGAAAACGCCTGCGGCTGAGTCCTGAGAAGTTTTGGTCAGGTACTTTAGATCAAGATGCGACGCGAAAGGAAAAGGCGCTCGCCTTGCTGCTGCGCGGGTCATTCAATCCCTCGCAGGAAAATTGGTTTGCCAGCAACCATCTTGCAGGTGCTATGCGGCAATGTTGGGAGGAAGTGCGGTGGGCAGGTTCCCAGAAGCTGCACTTGGTCAGGGCCAGAGATCTGGATCCAAATGAAGTGCATTCTTGCACGCACACGGGCCAACACTTTGAACGCGAACCCTCGATCTAACCCAGCCTTAACTCGTACCGTAAGACTTAGTGTAAACACCATTTGGGGAACTCACCTTGGGACTCCAGCTCGGCGGCGCGTCAGGACTTGGCGGAGCAGCGGGTCTCGCAACAAGCGCCGCCCAGGCAACCTGCGCCAGGCGCGGCAGAGCGCCCGGGCCTTGGTACGCTTGGAGCCAAGCCAGTGGGTCCCACCAGGCGTGTGTATTTGTTGGAGGGAACCCAAGCCAAAAGGGAAACCCCTAGTTTGATATATGATTGACGGAAGGTTTTTCGGCAGTTTCGGCGTTTCCCTAAGTCTCCCCAATTTTCCAGGCATGAAGAATCAAGCAGCCGCCATACCATCTTTCTTCAATAGAAGGTAACCGTTTCCTCATAAAAGGTTCCCTTATGTTGCGGATTTCACTGTCTCCGTTGAAATCGCCCAAGAGGGGGTGGGTGCACAATCGCGTTTTTCAGGGCTGCAGATGCACCGCGACTACCTGCTGCAGCTACAAGCGGAGCATCAGCAGCTGAAGCTGTCAGCCGACAGGCGCGGTGTGTGGAGAGATGGCCCTTTTCAGACCCTCCAACGTAGTTGGCAGTCTAGTCCTCTTTGGACCCTTTTACACTACCATAAGGGGATGGAGAATCTTTAAATTTTCAGGGCCACATGAATCCGTGGTGGATGGCTCGTCCAAGAGCTGAGAGTGGACCAGTGTCTACGACGATTCCAACCTTGTGAACGCTCACGACAAAGGATCGAAACTTGACGCGCCTGTTTTTGATGTACTTTGCTGTTGAGGGCGTTTGCAGATGCGATTTTGTGGACACGGGCCAGGGCGCTCCTGATGCGTGGCACTTCAAGTTGATGCGGGGGAAAAATGGCCGCAAGCTGCGAACACTTGTTTTTGCGGATTGGTGAAAACTCCCGAACGCGGGTGAAGGGGGAGGGCAGGTCGTGCCAAGTTGCATGATTCTGGAAATGCAAATTTTTTGATTTATCCGTACCATGCGAAAGGCTCCTCCTAAAGTGCACCATTTCCCTCCTGATGAGTCTTGGGAGTTGTGTTGTTCTGCAGTCTTCCATTTTGCAGGAATCCCAGTGCTTGATTGAATACGATCCGCAGCATTGCAGCGTGGAAGGTCTATGAGAAGAGCGCGGCCTCAATGTAACCCAGCGATTTCAAGCCTGTAGAAAAATCCCAAACTACGAAGCCAAGCACAAACCGGACTTCATTGGCACACTCGGCCAGTGGAATCACTGGCGTTGGCCTGAGTCGCGGCCATGCGTGTGCGTATCATGTGGCATGTGTTGCATCCATGCTTTCATGTTGATGCTCATGACATGTGGCACAGTTCGTCAATACGCTTGGATTTGGTTGCTTTATGACCAGTAAAAAAATATATGCCACTTTTGGGTTTGGCAGGTTGGGTGAAGTGCCTTTGTTTCAAGTGACAGCCAAAATGCCTCTCTATGCATTTTGGCTCAAAGATCCAAAATGGCCGGACTGGTCAAGGTTTGAAGAACCTCGGAGTTTTGGATACCAAGCTTGTTTCACTGGTCTGTCTGACCTCTGCCTCCGGGTCTGCCTGGCCCTGCGCATATGGCTGACGCCGCGATGCTGGTCGAGCTGTTGCCAATGCCTGGCAGCAGGCTCGTAACCGCAGTTCAGTCGGTCTGGCTGTTACTGCGAGGCCGGTCATGGCCTTGGGGGTGCCTCCCCCTGCTCCAAAGCCGTCGGCGTCTCCACGGCTGAGGAGCCGGCCTCAGCCTGTGGTGGTTACGGCCCATCTCCCACCTAGCTCCTACGAGGCGTCCTCTTCGTCGAACACGGTGGGTGAGAACCAGTTGCTGGCCATCATGTTGGCTTGCTCTAGCCACAGACCTTCTACAGCCAATGAGAGGGACGCCATGCGGGCATTCGTCCTGGACGTGGTTGGCCGGACCGAGCAGGTGACATTGCGGAATGCACTGTCAACATGGCATGAGCTCCGCTCCTTTGCTTCGGGTTGCAAGGTGGAGCTCAATGCCCTCACGGCCTTGCAGCTGGCTGCCTTCATGAGGGCGCATAAGGCTCCGACCCGGGCCTACAATGCCCTGTTTTGGATGAACAAGAACCTCAAGCTGGGCTATGATACGTCTCTTCTGATCAAGCCCGCCAAGAAATCTGCCCCTACAAAGTTTGGGGGTGGGGCCAAACAGGCTCCTGTCATCCCCCCAGTGGCAATCACTTTCCTCGAATCAGGACTACCGTTCGCTGCCCACTGCATGATCTTCGGTGTGGTTCGTGTCGCCCACATCCAGAGATCCGTGGTCCACTCCGTTGATGATGTGGCCATCTACATGTGGTGCTACCAAGGTAAGCAGACTCATACCGGTCTGGGTTTTACTGGAGTGTCCCCAGGTTCAGCCTGGATGGGGTGGACATTTGGCTCGACCTTCGGGTCCAGCTGGCCAGATTTGCTGCAGCCCGAAAGCAGGCGGGTCTCGCTGCTAAGGGTTTGTGCTTCGACCTCAACGCCATGATGCCTTTGAAGATTCAGGGCTTCATCCAAGGAGTTCGTGGTTGGTTGCAGGACCCTTCTCAGCTGTCGTCGCACAGCCTTCGGCGTGTCGTGTCTACCTAAAAAGCTATTGCTGGCCTGTCCGAGCCGGACAAGCTGGCTCTTGGCAACTGGATCGACAAGGGCGTGGGTACGGGCCAGACCCCGGCGCGGTACAGCGCCACTTGACTTCGCAGCTTTTGGTCACAAGACTCGCTGGCAGGAAGTCCAGCATGGTGCTATGCAGGCTCAGTTGGAGACTGATTTGACCCAGGCGGACGACCTTTTGGCCTCAGGTGCCGCTGAGGTCATCAATCCCGACCTTCCTCAGCAAGATGACGCCACGCTGACAAGTTCTTTGATCGCCTGGCTCGAGCGCGCTGGTCTAGCGCAGGGCACAGGGGGCATGCCGAACCGGCTTCCCTGGTGCACAGGGGACAACACGGTTCCGGAAACTTGTGGTTGGGCGGTCTGCCCTGCAGTTCCGACGATGCCTTCCTGAAGCGGCAGCGGATCTCCTTTGTGGTCAGTGCTATGCGGGAAAAGGCTTCGGACTTGGGTGGAGCCTCTGCCGCGCGGTTCCTTCAGCGATCCGTCCCCGTGTCATACAATGGTCATGATAGGCAGAAGGCCTTTGATGAAGTCCGCCAACGAGTTTTGGCTACCATTGCTCAGGGTGAGAGCGCTCTCATCCACTGCAAAGCCGGGGTCCATAGGGCTCCCATGCTCACGGCTGTGATCTTGGGCATCCTGGACTGACCCTGGACTCCGCGTTGGCCGAGATTGGCGAGGTCAGCGCTCCAGGCGTGGAGGTGATGCCATCTTTGACTGGTGCCGTCAGCAACTTTCTTGGACAGTGGCGGCTGTGCTGTTGCCCTCTACTTGGTCATGGCAATGCTCCACACGCAGGCACATCGTGTTGGGTGCGGCAGCTGCCGGACCCATCTGCAAGTGGAAGCAAGCGGATTCTAAGAGCTTCTTCCGGGGCGAGACATTGTCCGCTGGGCGCGCGCCGGAGGCCTTGGTCCATGGTCGCAAGTTCTGCTACGCGTGTTCTTTGGCACTGCCTGCCTCCGACATCCTCATGATTGAGCACCTTCTGAGTTCGTGCAACCCCGGAAGGAGGACATGACCTGTCCGCCTACTTCCAACGCATGAGGATCTATCTCCATGGCTTGGCCGTCGTGGGTTCGGCCCCTTTGTTGACAGCCCCAGCGACTGCTGAGGTGGAGCGGACAGCGCCCTGTATGTCGACGCCCCATGGGATCTTCTGCTCCGGTACTGCCACCGAGCTGAGCGCACTGTGACTTTGATCTCGCAGTCGGCTGACGACCATCCAGCGCTTGGACACAGAGGAACGGCGCGAGTGGTGCCATCGCTTTGCCACTCACGTACCATCATCAAGGAGGTGTTCCTGGAGCGTGAAGCTTTATGGACTGTGGCGGTCACAGCGGGCGGATCTCGAGCACCTCCCGAGCCAGGGTGCCCTCCGGCCAAACCTGGCCAGCCAGGGGGCATGAAGAAGGTGGTCAGCCAACTTCAAGACGAAACTCCACTGTGTGTGGCGTTGTTCCAAGGCACCTGTCCCAAAGTTGGCCGTGAATGTGACCAAGGAGCATCGTTGCGGACATCTCCTGAAGGGAGGACGGGTGTGCGGCAGCTTTGGCCACACTGGTCGCTCGTGCAACAACAAAAATCGAGCTTGAAAGGAAGGCGGGTCGCTGTCTCCATCCGCTGACAAAAGAATGCTGCTGCCTGCATCATTCATGGAATTGCAAGCTTGTCTAGCTTCTCTTCCCCCACCACCAGCGGATTTGCACAAAGTAGCTCCCCTGATGATGGACTTGTTTTCTGGCCCCAACGCACCGCTTGCCAAGGCCTTTCTCTGGTGCGGATGGAGAGTCCTCACACCCATAGATCTCGCGATTGACAAGGAGTTTGACGTCAAAACCAGGGCCCGTGAAAAGGGACCAGGTCCCATGCCCCTCCAGTCAAAGACTCTGCCAAGAGGTCTCCCCGGGCTGTCTGCCCGCGACCAACAACAACCTGGCTGCAGATTTTGGGTTGGCCATGCAACAATGGGAAGCAGTCTGCACTGGTTTGACCCGTGCGAACGGTACGTTACAAGCCAAAGTTCCTGGCATGACCTGGTGTCAGGAGTGGGTCCGGCAGGGTGATGCGTACCCTACCAAAGAAGAAGCAGAGTACACACCCTCATTGGCATTCACACTTGCCATATGTGCCACGGCTTGGGCGCATCAACAGGGTTTCATGGTCGAGCCTGTTCCCAGGTTACCTCCCATCTTCACCACAGGCAAGCTTTTGGAGTTTGACCCGGCCCTGTTGCGGGCCGAACTTATGGCATCAATGGCCCTCCACCTGGGACTTCGCCACAACCAGCTCCACGATCACCAGTTCGTGCCGTTGCTGCCGAGGTCCAGTCCGACTACAAGGAGCTCCCACCTAGCCACGTCTACATTGGGTTGGGTTGGACCAACCCTTACCTGGCTGGAAGGGATGGCACCCATTTTGAGACGGTGGTCCTCTACATGCAGAAGTTGCTTCAGACAGAGGCCTGGCAGCGGGACCTCGAATCCCTTGAGGGCAAAGTTTTGGTTTGCGATTGCCCCGCCAACCGGCTCTGCCACGGTGATGTCTGATGGCAAGTCCCGGTGCAGCCTGCCCCTTCGGACAGTCATGGCAGTTGCTACTGGTACCAGGGTGGTATCAGCTCGTGACATGGACAGTCTGGCCCAGGACGACATTGAAGAGACCTTCAGGTCCATGTGCCACTTCATCCCTTGAACCCACTTCAAGTTCCCTTTCATTGAGGACCTGATCAACCATGACACGTTTTTGAGTTTTCGTTCCTGGACGAAATCCGTCCCATTTCTGGAGGGACTCCCAGCCGGGCCACGAGTTTTGGGGGCCAATGAGCGACCTATGTTCCGCATGAGCCTGGGATCTCAAACTGGGACAGCTGCCTCGACCAAGGCGGCGCCTCCCCTTGTGCCATTCAACCTTGGCCCGGATGGCCACTTCATGTTTGCATCCCAGGTGCAGGCAACTGGCACCCCGTTCGAGCTGGAGCCGTTAGTCGACGAGGACCTGTTGTTCGCTGCCGAGTTCTCGGGTCGGTGGGGAGACAACATTCGCAGTCAGCGAACCAAGCGCTTGAAGGTCCTTCAAGAGCTCGGCCGTCGGTGGCAGCCCGTCACGGACATACCTCGCCCAGTTCCAACTACCAGAAGTGGCCTCATCCACCAGAGGTCGGCGCCTGGGCTTGATTGGCCTTCTGTGCATCTTGGCCGACTGGCCTGACACCGCCCTTCTGTTCAGGGTTTTCCCTGCGTGCTCCCCGCATGTGCCTGTCTACGACTGCCAGCCAGCAGATTGGATCTCCCCGGAGGACATCTGGATGACAGTAGAAGACGACGTTGGCCGAAGTACCTTCGAAAAACGAGGTTGCTGTGTCTCAAAGTCGTGGTAGGCCACGATGCATCGCCAAGATTCAGACGGGGTCATTGGAACGTGTCGATATGCATGAGGAAGATCTTCGCCGCCAGTCTCGAAGTCAATGGATTGCAGGTGGGGCTGATGTGTGCGAAAGGCCTGCCAGAAAAGTCTCACATGAATGCCAGGCTGGATTGCTGTGCACAGGTCCAGCCGGTTGCAGTCGGCACTAAGTGCGGACTGGCGTCCGTCAGCAGCATCGTCGATCACCCGCAACTTGCCTCCGGGCTGCCGAATGCAAAAGCGCCGGATAAGGCGGAAGCGGCGGCCTTGAGCAGACAGCTCTTGCCAAGACATGGCTGGGCCGCAAAACCCCAAGGCCTCGTCTTTGGTGCCAGCGTCAGAGATGGTCTCGTCCAACTGTTCGGTCTGCCCTTGGCAGTCACGAGCTTCAACCGATGGCCACGTATGCTGCAGTGCTTCTTTAGGCGTTTCGGGGCTTGCATGGCGAGCATGTACTTCGATGACCTCACTGTGCAATGCAGGACGTCACCATGGCGAAGGGCTCCAGTCAGCAGTTTTGCGTTGCCGTGGCTTGATTGCCTGGATCACCGTTCTCAGCCGAGAAGCATCAGGCCATGCATTCACAGGGCGACTTTCTGAAGCTTTGGCATTCAGTCGCTGGTGGCACCACCTTCTGGGTGAGACAGCGGCTGGTGGATGCCTGACTTTCTTGAGTCACGGGTGCTTTGGCAAGGCTGGTCGGGCTGGACTGACTCAAGGATACCTTCCATACCATTCTTCTTCGTCTACAACCTCGTCGCCTTTTGCGCTCTGCCCAGGTTCTCAGGTGCTCTGGCGGTTACACCTGCCTTGCAGAGGATCGGTCTGATCCTTGCGGTTGACGACCGCCTCTTCGATAAGATCTCCCAGATCTCCCAGCTGGAACTTTGCATAGTCCTGATGGCGTTGGCTGCCCTTGCTCCGCTGATTCGAGGTCATCACGGACTTTGGTTCGTGGACAACGTGCCAGCATTGATGAGCCTCATCCGCGGTCGAAGTTCCATTTCTGCTGGATACCATGGCGGGGGCCGTCCATGGCATCTTATGCGGTCTTCACTGTAGCCAATGGGTGGCCAGCAAGGACAACTGGAGTGATGGAATTTCTAGGTTAGGTGCGGCTGACCCATGGATGACACACAACTCCTTTGCGATGCAGTTCATTGAGCCTTTGATGCTTCTGCTTAAGATACCAGCTTTTGCCCTGATCAGGATCTTTTCTTTTCTCTAAGTGCTTTGGGACATGCAGGATGCATGTATCAGCACGGCATGTGCTGGGTCGGTGACGGCCCTGTCCCACAGAAAGAGGGTCAGCACGACCAAGCCCAAAGCGCTCAAGATAGCGACGGCTATGACAGGTCTTCAGATGCGATGCTAAAAAGAAGCGCTGCTGTTTCCTCTAGCTCAAGCGTTTGTGTCCTTGAAACATAATGCCACTTTTAGGTTTGGCAGGTTCGGTGAAGTGCCTTTGTTTCAAGTGACAGCCAAAATGCCTCTCTATGCATTTTGGCTCAAAGATCCAAAATGGCCGGTCTGGTCAAGGTTTGAAGAACCTCGGAGTTTTGGATACCAAGTTTGTTTCACCCACCCTTCCCTTCCCTAGGACCTCAGTGAGGTATCCTCTGGGGGGATTAACCTTGATGACGATCAAGGGGAGTGGTGGTCACGCGGCATTGCCGTATCTGTGGGACTCTGGGACGGTGTTCCCATGCCATGGCGGTGCCTTGCAGGATGCATGCATCAGCACGGCATGTGCTAGGTCGGTGACGGCCCTGTCCCACAGAAAGAGGGTCAGCACGACCAAACCCAAAGCGCTCAAGATAGCGACGGCTATGACAGGTCTTCAGATGCGATGCTAAAAAGAAGCGCTGCTGTTTCCTCTAGCTCAAGCGTTTGTGTCCTTGAAGCATAAACAAAAAACAAACAAAAGTGTTTTGTAATATTCATCGGAAGGAGTCCCGTTGCCAAGATGCAATTCGTTTTTTTGAGCACACCCGCCTTCTTGCCTGGCGTCAGGCGAGCATGGAGCCAGTATCGATCCTGCTGGCCACCGGTAGAACTGGCAATGTTGCTATCATTGATATGAGAAGTCTATCGCAATTCTCAAATCAAAATTGTAACGTGACGTGATGCCAGAAACATCTTGGTGCCACACACACACACCACCATGACTGAAGAAGATTTGTATACATCGACTGCCATTTTGACTTTTGCCAGGTGCAATCGCAATTTATGCGGCGCATCGGGCGGAAAAGATGACTGAGAAGGCCTGGACACAAATCTGGCATTGATGTTGGCATGGCGGCCCTCACAACATGCACTCTGTGAACAAACAAGGCACCTGTTTGGGGGCATGCTAACACCCTTATGATCTGACGTTGACCATCTAGCATGCAGCGCCTGGCATATTGTATATGGTTTGGAGTGGACCAACCCAGGGAGAAGAACTCTACAGTGCATCGGTTGACCGTTTGCTGGCCATTCTCTGGGGTTGTTGGCAGGCAAGGCGTGGGCCGCTGACCCTACCAGAGGTGCTAGATGCCCAGCAGGCGGGGCAAGGCGAAATGTGCAGGGATGTTCCATATCCTTTTTGACGTGATGCCGACGAACAGGCAAGAACTCAACTGTTTTGAGGCCCCTGGAACGGTTTGTTAGGCAAGTGTTGACTCTTTGTCTTTAAAAGTCACTACTTCCTTGGAGTTTTCTCTAGGCTAGCTACACGGGCTAGGGTTAAGTCGCAGCAGAATATGTACAGCCGCATCGTCCGCACATGGCCAGCAGGTAAGGACACAGGAAGGTCATCAATTGTTCGCTGGGTCCCGGTTTTTACCCAGGCGTGGGACGCAAAACAGCTAGTCTTGCAGCAGGCAGAGCGCGAAGTAACACGCGCTGAAGTGACTTCGCGTGTGTGCGCGGCCATGCTGTGATGTGGCTTCATGCGCGTTGATGTGACGTGACGCCAGCCCTTGTAGCGATGTAGACAGATCAAAGCTTGCACTGCCATCAACCAACAGCCTCCAAGTAAAGAATCAGAGGTGATTAACCTACCCCCCTCCAGCCTCCCACCTCCAGCCTGAAAAAATCAGAATGACTCAGCCACCTAGTTCCCCAATCCACCCAAACTGCCGACAGCCTCAGCGAATCCGTTTTCTTCATGGCGGGCAGCGAAGCATGTTTGTGATACACTGTTCATTTGAAGTGCTCTCAAGCTCCCGCACCGCTTCGCGAATGCTGTTCATGCTTGGGGCACGGTAATCCTTATCAAAATCTGCTAGTTTGGTGAAGTGCCTTAAGTACATCACCTCAAGCCAATTGAAGACGGTGACCAAACTGTCCACAACGGACTCAACATCATTGTCATCCCTCACTGGGGAGCATTGAAACTCGATACTGCGATTTGAGGGCGAGCAAGTTTGGGCTGAAAAGATTTGTGTGGGGGTAGGGTGCTGGGGGGGGGTAGGTTAACCAGCTATGAAAGAACTATTCCATGTAGTCTGCGCTTCGACTCTTCGTTGAAGCAGTAGTGACGCGGAATTGATTGAGCTGGTCAGCCCCCGGCGGCAGGAGCTGAGTAGGTCTCATGATTGAGCATCGTCATGTGCCGAGAGGATGTTTGGAATTGAGCATCTAGATGGCAAATCCGTGGATTCGGATTTTCCTGACTTTCTCCCATCGTCCCGGCATAGCTTTTCTCCAACTGTCGAGTTGGCCGACGCCTGGCAACTGGGTGATGTTTATTTGGAACCCTTTGGGGATTATGACCGCCAACAATGTTCGAGTGTTCCACGAAAGCCAGAGGCAAACTAGGCTGGGGGAAGCTTGGCCCTTTGCAAGGTGGACGACGCGGCCCCTGTACAGCTCTTGGCAGTTCATGTGCGAAGCGGCCGCTTTCACCGGAAACTCTTCCAGCAGTCAGTGAAGGTGGGGAGCCCATTTTGAGAGCTGATGGGGTGTGCCTCTTTCATAGAATCGTTTTCGGGGCTGCTGTACAGGGAAACAAAGAGACAACCACACACTTCAGGGATTCTCATTTACAAGGAAACCGTATCGTGCAATGAACAAAGACTCACAGTTGCATGCTCGTTCATGCAATCTCCATCCGACGTTGCGAGAATGTCCAACGCACGACTCGGGAGATCCTTTGATCTCAGGCACTCAGCGCTGAGTGCCGCGCACGGCCGCGCACGGGTTTGATGTGTTCCTTGAGGTGCGAGTCAAGTATGGCGCGCCGGGGTCGTCCATCCATTGTGACACCCCGCAGGCGGGGGCCCGGAACTGCACTCGTCCTGCTTGGGGAATATGACCCGCTTGGGCTTTGCGAGTGGAAATGCCGCCTTGAAGTTGCAGCTCTTGCAACATAGATGGGTCACCGGACAAGAACAAGACCATTCCGCGATGAACTTTGATAGTTGGAACACTCTCAAGAGTGGTTGTTGGAGACAAATCCCCCATGCAAATGATGTCCACTGTCCACCCAGGGTCCAACCAATCAAACTTCATCTCCATTTTTCCTATGTTTGCCGTTTGTAACAATTTGCAGTCTGCTCTTGTATATTTCGACTTGGCAGCCGCTTGTCCACAGTTCACAATGGCAGGGGTCCCTTATTTGATTCAGTGGTTCAAACGCAAACATCACCTTTTGCCAATGTAAGTTGAGTTGCCCTCCGGGTGGTGTTTAGTTGCTGTACGGGGACATTTGAGGAAACCAGGGTTTTCGTGGTCTTGCCGGTGCTTTCTGGTGGAAAGTTGTTTCGGATTGCGCAGCTCTCAGGTACGCTTGCTGCCCCAAGAGGCTTCGCCAGCTGCGAGGCCGGCGCGTCAGTTTCAGGATCCTTACCCAGTTCCTTAGACGCCAGGGTGGGTTTGCTGGATGGCCGGTTTTCTTGTGTTTTGGAGGTGTCTTCCACGGCAGGGTTCATAGAACTTCCCCCCTTGTGATCTTAAGATTGCTAGGCGGCTAGTTGATTTGGGCTCCTTTAGAGGTTTGGAAGGTTTGGCGTGTCCTTGGTGCCAGAGTGTCATTTGCAGACATAATATTGCTATGAAATGCCCGTGGGCCCTGGTGGACACTGCGATATTCGATTCTCAATGATTGGCAACGACCTACTTCGAAGAAACCTCGCCCGTTTGGCAGCTGTGTTTGCTTGTGGTTTCATCAGAGCTCGAAACACAGGCAGTTGGGCCTGGTGTGTTTTCCAAATCAAGAACCCACGTTGCCAGCTTCCCACGCACCAAGAATTCCATGGGGATTTGTCCTGAGGTTCGTCTCCCGTCTACACCGGGATGAGTGCGAGCTT